CTGCGTCCATTCATTCATTCATTCCTGCGGATGCCATGCGGAAGCGCTGCCTAGCAGCTTGTGCGAGGAGGTCTGCAGAGTGCCCGAAGACGAAGTGGGCAGAGGAGTAGAGTGCAGCAATAGGTAGTGGCAGCTAGCGCTGCCATAGCTGTAGCCTAGCATGTGTGTGTGTGAAGTGTGATACTGAGTGTTGCGTGTGGGACATCCAGGGTGATCCAGAGTGCGAACAGTGAGTTGTGTGGGCGCTCAGTCGCCATAGCCAGTTTGAAGAGAACTCTKATGTGGATACGATATCTTGAGTACTGAGTGGGCGCCTGTCGCCAATTTGCTGTTTCGCTGTTTGCATACATGACAAGTTGAATAATCGTAGTGTGATTTCAACATAACCTCGGGCTACAAACCAAAGACCCGAATCCAAGGCTGGCAGAGAAGTGGAGAACCATACTGAACCTAGACACCACGACCCCCATCTCCATCACCTGGACCACATACCTTCTCATCAGACCAAGTAGAATCCGAAGTATGCAATGGCTAATAGCACATGCAGCCCTGCCAGTCAACCAATGGTTACACGAGAGAAGGAAACATTCTGATCCTGATAGCTCAGCATGCTGCTCAATGTGCAGCAACGACTCACCCGAAGACATCCCCCACTGCCTCCTCTTCTGCCCTGAAGCAATCTGGATATGGAGGAAGATCCACGAGCTATGGTCGATCCTGTTTGCTGCGCCCCCCGCAAACATCCCCCCTATCTCTATCCTACTTCTAACTAACATCCCCAGCAACATCACAGGCAGCAGGGAAGCATGGTTCACCCTACTCAGGAAGCTGGCGCTGTGGGTGATATGGAAACACAGATGTACTCAGACAATCGAGGGAACAGAGGTGGCAAGAGAAGAAATGTGGACTCTACTGCTGAGCATTGCAGAGACGGAAATCAGGAGCAGATGGCGGAGAATGGCAAACTCTACGAGACACAGACCAGAAAGACAAGCAACCAAGAAACAGACTTTCATAAGGATCTGGTTGCTAAAAGGCAAGGTGGCAACAATAGTAGACAGTAGACTGAGATGGAAAAAATGGCACCAGGCAGAAGCATTAAGACCACGAGGATACATGCCGGGAGGCCTGGCAGAAGGTTCTGAATGGTGATTAACAAAAAGAGGACTGAACACACAGGGAAAGACAAGGACAAGCAACAGAACACAGAGCGGACCCCCCCCACTGTTCTCGTAGCACAGGGACTCATTCGACAGGCTCTAAATAGAAGCCTGAGAGGAACAAATGGTCAGGGCGAGCTGACAGCCAATCCTCCGTAGAAGGAGCAATCAATGCTGATCAGGGGTCCTTCGGCCAGACGGAAGGAAGCGTTGAGTGGGTAATATGATGTAATCTGTTTCTGACTTGCCGGGGGAATAGGAACCGGACTGACGCTCCCCAGAATGGATATGGAGCCAGGTGGCCCAGGACCAAAAAGACCTGATTAAAAAAAAAAAAAAAAGAAAGGCATTCAGAATTAGAGGAAGCAAGCACCCAGCAACTCATTGGGCATCGGCACACCACTCTCGAAATGTGCACAATGAGAACGAACTTCCCGCTAGAACATGGCCAGATGCACCCGCCACATTTTCAATGATTTTTCAATTTTTGTCTTTTTCACATTTCGAGAGTGGTGTGGTGAGAAAAAGGAAAAATTTTTGCGCTTGCGCCGTCCAGTAGCGCTACGCAGCGCTAATTTGCGCTCGTGTCACGTCCTGACTCCCGCCAGCCCGCCGCCGAGCGCGAAAGCGCCCGGCACGGTTTCGAATTCGAAATCGAGCGGCTTGATGCAGCCGCCATTGAATCTGCATGCAAATCAGCTCGCGCCTCGAGCGCGAGCCCCATCACCGTGCTCCATCACCATCCCCACAGCTGACCTGGAACGTCAGCAAGACAGCTCACTCTTCAAGGGGGAGCACTTCCATCCAAGCTCCAAGCTCCAAGCTCCAAGCTCCATCCAAGCTCCAAGCTCCATCCAAGCTCCAAGTTCCATCCAAGCTCCAGAATCAAGTGAAGAGGCAGTGAGCCAGCTCACCCCTCAAACTCACCACCCGCCATCTCCACATCGAAGGCCATCGAGGAAGAAGAAGGATCAAACCGACCACCCAAGCCAGCGACGTAAGCAACCTGCAAGGCGATCCACGCTTGAAGCAGGAGGCACACTCCCTTCCTCCATAGCCAGGGAGGAGAACAGAGCGAAAGAAAGTGAGCAAGCCTGATCTCAGGCCGCTCAATAGACATCGCCAGGAGA